CTTTTTCTGTGATGGGAACTTGTAAACAAGTGAGGTTGGAAACTATGTCGATGACAAAAGTGCAAACCAGTGCATGTCTGAAACTTTGATGTAGAAAGTCAGTCACCGTATTTCGGCTGTGTCAAAGGAAACTGACATATAACCATCCAACTGAAGCCGTGTGTAACCACACGATGCACGATTATGTGGACAAGAGAAGAGAGCTACTAATTCTACTGCTGCAAACGTTGGGCGGGGGGAGTAAGCATGAAACTGTGATTAGTTCTTTCGCATTTCTTTCCAGGCCCTGGCTTAAGGGCTCTGGTTCATTGATGTGATAGTTCAGTGATAGTTGGATGACTGTGGTTTTAATACTTGGCAGCCAGTTCTTGACATTGCTCTCACCTTTATCATCTGAGCTCTTATCTCCTCACCCCTGAGGACAGAATAAACTGTGAGCTTGTCAAAAGCTCCATTGTTCCCCGCAGAATATTATGCAGTGCCAGTCTTCTCTATTGCCAAGTCACAGTGTATGACCTCAAAGATCTAATGTTTATTTGAATCGATTCATATTTACGACACAAATGATGCGTTTAATCTACAACTATTTATTTATAATGAAATGACTGCAGGGGTACTTCCTCAATGTCTTCTTTTTTCATGGTAGTGTATCCAATCTCAGCTTCTGCATCTGACATCCCTTTTGATCACTCAAAAGCAACTATATATAGTAACTTTTCATACCTCTTTAACAACTGCCTCTTCACAAACAGACCATTTTCCCAGTGTCTGGACACTGAGGTTTTGCTCTCCCATAGGAAGAAGATGTGTCAGTGACATCACGTCTGTTAAGTAAAGGCAATAACACGTGTGAATAAGCTTTTTGTATAAATAGAAAATTTGTTATGGGTGAAAATTTTCCTATAACAAATGAACTAATCCATCCCTATACCATCATGGATGATTGCCTTTGCAGAGTGCTGATTTCAAACGTCAGATGGTTTCTTATACTCTTTAACCTGGGTACACGATGAGTAGGACTTTGAAAAAGAAATTCAAATTTTTATTTTTCAAATCTGTCTCTCAATCAAAGCAAACAACAAAGAGTCATTTAAACCACTGCTTAACTGCTCACGCTACCTAAAAACTTTCCATTTCTAAATGAGGAGACGACTGAGGTGGTTGCTTTTGGTCGCCCCGAACAGCTCAGTAACTCGCTCGCACTTTTGGCACTTTAGGGTTTTAACCTTTAACCTTTTACCAGGAATTTGGATCTTATTTTTGACAGTGGTTTCAAATTTGACGGACAGATTAGCTCTGTGGTCAAAGCAGGGTTTTATCAACTCGGACAGTTGGCCAAAGTCAAGCCCTATCTACCTTGAGAGAGTTATCCATGCTTTTAATTGTATTTGCCCCAACTATTGTACCTCCCTTTTTGCAGGCCTGGGTCACTCTGCTATCTGAAGTTTACAGTTGGTTCAAAATACAGCTGGTCGACATCTTACAGGGGCAAAAATGTGAGAGCACATTGCCCCAGTTTTATCCTGTCCTCATTGGCTCCCTGTCCCTTTTTTTTGTTTTTTTAGAATTGATTTTAAGATGCTATTCCTTATTTTTAAGTTTTTGTATGGCCTTGC